CCAGCCTGTACTGGTGCCGGGGGTTGCCTCGAATGCTTACTATGCTTAGTATAAATGAGCTTTCATTAGTTCTTACTTTACTGAAGCAATTATGTTGTTTTAACTCTGCTAGCAACACATGGAGCTGTTGAATGCTAATGTAGCTAATGGTTTCTGCTCAATCACGTTGCTGACCAGCAAAAGTTGCAGCAACATTCTTTCTTGGTTTTCACTTTGGACACCTTCCTTTAGAATCTGCTGGAATTTTGCCTAAAAACTAACCTTAGAAATTGAAACTTCCAGTTGAAACTAGAATATGAATCTTTTCCAAATACAGGGTATCATGCTTATTAATATGCTTTTCTTCTCCTGAAGTCTATGGGATTTTCTTTATTATTTAGCACTTTATGGAGCAGATATTTTGAAGCCTGAATTAAATTCACTCTGTTTTTTCTAGCTCTCCCAGAACAAGGTTCAGATGGATTCAGTACAGCTATGCTTCTGGTGTTGATTCTTGGGCTATTGATAATGTGGTCCTGGCTACAGGGTGCCCCTGGATGTGCTCAGGCCATGGCATCTGTGATGCAGGTCATTGTGTGTAAGTAGCAATCTGCTTAACCTGCTTCATAGAAAGGATATTGTGTTTTATCTAGGCCAGATGGATAACACCTTTTCCTCCCAATTTGTTGCTAGGTGTGACAGAGGCTTTGGTGGTCCGCACTGTGTCCCTGTCATTCCCCTGCCGTCTGTCCTGAAGGATGATTTCAATGGTAACTTGCATCCAGACATTTGGCCTGAGGTCTACGGTGCTGAGAGGGGAAACCTGAATGGTGACACCATCAAGTCTGGAACAGCTCTCATTTTTAAAGGGGTCAGAAATTACTTACACTGAAAAAATGAATTAAAAAAAGTAGAGTTAAAAACAGAAAGTAAATTTTTTGTTGTTTCCCCCCACACGTTTATGTCAAAGTCTTTAGGCTAGAGTTTGACATTTTCATTTTTCTTGTTTTTCCCACCCTAAGTATGCACCATGTTTGTCATGGGTTTTTTTTATGAACAAACAGGTTTCATCTGTTAGTTTGGCTATTACTTTCATTTGTGGTATAAATTCCTCCATAACCACCAAAGGAAAAGAATGAAACTCTGCGGCAGATATTCTTGAGGGCAAGTGAGTGATTTGGAAATATAGTACACATTACAATCAATTGAGTTTGTGTCTTGAAATCCTCTGATTGGCTTTTGAGTATTTTGAATAATACAAATTAGTCAGCACTGTAGTCTATATAATCAATGTTTATGTAGCTAGCCTGTGTTTTACTTAATTCTATCGCTTTGAAGTTTTCTAGCTCTTTAAGGATTTTTTTGTTAATTACAGGTTAAAAAAGGCCAGGAAATATTATATTTTCTGAACTTCTCAGTTCTTCAACAAAACACATAATAGAAAGACTTTTGTTCACATAAGCACACAAATTTTAAGCTCACCCTGAGTCTTCACTTGATACTGTGAATTCAGGTGCCCCCAAAAAGCAAAGTTTAATAATGTTTGGTGTAGAAATGAATTCTTTAGAAATATTTCTTTGCAAAACCTTGACTCCAGTTCAACCTCTTTGATCATCAAATCACAAATCACAGGATGTGAATTGCCTAAAACTTGGATTGGTTGTTCCTGCAGGTTCTTTTCCTGGGGGAATGGGTCTGAGAAAGAGGGAAGCTCTGAGAGGTGCTTTGCCAGATCTCTGCAGAAAGGGGATCAGCTCTGGCCCCAGGATCCACACAACATTGAGCTCATCCATAGAGATGGACAGGACCATAGGGGTCACTATGAGGTTTCCTATCTGCTCCCTTTCCTTACTGCTCTAAGTCAAGAGGTTGTCTAAGAAGAGAATATTTGTACAAAATATTTTTTGAGGCACAGAAAAGAGCTCCTAGAGAGGAGTCTTCCTGCCTGGAAATTAGTGTGCTTGGCTACCATACAATTTGCCCCAAAAATGAGTGTTACTAGCTTGGACTCAGTGTCTGAATAAGTCAGTGTTTGCAGATCAATCCCATCCCAGTGGTTCAGAGCATGAACTGAATGAGCTGTACCTGTGTCTGTAGCTGATCATGTGGCTGTGACTCTGGTGGTAACACACCCCCATAACTAGCCCCTTCCATCACTATGGCTCACTTTGCCAAGGCTAGCAGTGTTCCCATATTCTGCCTGGGCAAAGGTGCTGGACAGAGAGTTATCTGTCTTGCTGCCACTGGCAGTCAGTAACAGCCAACATCCGACAACAGTAAGCTGCAGAGTATCTTCGATAATGGGAACTGAGATTCACACTATATATTCTGTATTCGCAGGAAGGACTGAGAATGCTTGTTTCAAGAGATCTAGATTGCACTAATACCGTGTACATCCAGTTTTCATTTAAATTTATTGCCAAAGGTAAGATCACTTCTCTATCTTTATTCATACATAATAGCATGCAGAAAAGAATATGGTTTTACGTTTTCAACTTCAGTTTACATGATCATCAGTTTATGGGAACTTGTTTGAGATTCTGCACCATCCCGACCTTGCTACCAGCCTGCATGGACGTCTGTGCAATTCCTAAGAAAAAAGTAAACTGTGGTGGTGTTAAAAACAGCACAACTGGTACAGTCTTTGAGCAGAAGAGAAACAAAATAGCTCAAGATTTTTTTGAGATTTTGCAGTATATTGGGGAAAAAAATTAATTTATCAGTTTTTTAAGTCATAAAATGGTGCCTATAGTAGATTACCTAAGGGACAGATAAGGAACTACAGGGGTTTTCATTTTCAAGCTTCAGTCCACTGTATTGAAAGCTCTTACCATTTGACTTCCTAGTAGGTATCTCAGAGATGACCAAAACTCTACAATTCTATTTAATTGTGTATGAAGAATAGTCAGACTTTACAAGCCAAGTTTACACATTGGTGTAACAGGCTTGAGACAGTTTCTCTAGTAGAAGTATTTTCAAGCTGATGATTCAGTCGTACGCTGCTCCAAGCCCCTACTATCTCCAGCTTTGCAAGATAAGTTTATCCAAGTCAGGAGTGACACGGTGGAGAACCACTAACCTGGTTGAGGGTTTGAGTCACTCCCATGCAATTTCAGAAGTTTTTCTCAGCATTGCCTGTAGAACTGGCACTTCCAGGCTGAACTCACAACAAGCAAAAACTCCTCTCCCTTTGGTGGAGGGCGGAAGATGTTCATAGTTTCTGTGGAAAGCTCAGCACTCTGAGACAGGACCGTAACTGACTCAAAGTTTGCCAAAGGACAGTGTGAAAACAGTTTTGAACCAGCTCTTTTTTCCTAAATAAAAATCTTAGCCAAATCTCTGTATGGGCAAGTAAAAATGTAGCTGTTTCTGAATTAAGTTTGATTCCCTTTAATAGGGATTTAATCATATATATTTGGCTATTTATTACTATTGTTTAAGTACTTTATGGAAAAGAGATAAAACAATAACAGCCAAAAACATAACATGCCCCAAAACAATAACATGCCCAGTATTTCATGTTTAAAAGCAAAAATCTTTGTGAAGACTTCCTTTTCAAAACTATGCCTTGAAAATATGATCATTGCCAAAATATTAAAAAATATGATGAGTAAAAATATCATTCTGAAAGGCAGGATTAGCTAAAGGCTTGAGGCTGGATTTTGACACTTGACCCACAAAGGTAAAGCAGTGAAACTGCAGGAGAAATCTTTTCTCATTAATTCTATATGGCTTGCCAGCCTGGATACAGTACTTAGTCTCAACAAGCTCCCTAATGTTGAATGCAAATTAATGTAGCTGGGCACATCTCTCAGCTGTAAGCATTAAGAGCAGTGTGTGGTTTACTGTTAATTGCCACAGGTAAACTGAAATCAGCTCCTGGCTGCAAATGTCTCCTCCCTGCTTTGTTCCACACATAGTGGTTGAACAGAGGCTGCACTGGAGCAGAGTAGAGCAGGAGCGTGCACATCAGGCACCTTGGCTACAGCAAATTTGGTTAATTTAAAAACAGAACATGGGAGAAACTTGCACGGTAACCACAGTGACACAGGGATGAAGAAACTGTTCCTTAGTCCTTTACTGCTGCTAGTTCCTGCCCCTGGACTGAGTTTTTGGGGACGTGCCATCACTATGCTACACTATGAAGGGAGTGGACAGTGTAAATTTGTCCAAGTAAGAACTCAGCTCAGGCATATCGTCACTCAGATGCTGATGTTCCTGGTTGGCAAGTCAGGCATGAGCCAAACATACACTGGGGACTGAACTTGTGCAGGCTAACCAGCATCAAGTACAAGTGCTGGGCTCTAATCAGCATATGTTAATAGTTAGGGCTGTAAAGAGCCTTTATTCACTCTTCAAAGCTTTAAGTTAAAAAAGGAGGAACTGGTAGCCAGAAAATGCAAATTTTACTCTCAGTTCCACCACTGATTTTCAGGCCCAGCTTAAAGCACAGAATATAGCTGCGTTGTTGTTGTTAAAACATGCTAATAAAGATCGTCAGCGCTTTCCATCAATTATATGATTTCTGGGCATGAATATGCTCATATCGGTGTCTGCAGTTGGAGCCATAGACTATAAATTTGTGAGGATAAGGACTGTGTCTTTATCTGCGGGTGCTACAGATGGTGATGATAATGTCTGGTACCTGGGAAAAACAAGCAAATAAATGCTGAATTAGTGAAAAATGTCTGTGGTAGGAGGAATTGGTTTGTTCTAATCTAAAAAATTATAACACTGAGATAGCTTCTCATCTAAGTAATTAACTGTGACCATACATATAACGAACAGCAATGTAAATTTAACCCCTAATTCAATAGTGTTTTGCACACAGACAAGCAGGGGAAAGCACGGGAAGATGTATACATACAATACATGTGTAACGTCTCAACAGCTTTAGTTGTTGTTAAAGGAAGCCCATAGTTTGTAATAGATGTCAGAGGAATCTAATTGTATTTACACTTGAAGAAGTGTTTTTGAGCTAGTGCTTTTAAAAACCTGATTATAATGAACATAAATGCATGTCCTCTCTGCTCTAGGCACCCCGGAGAGGTCTCATTCCATCCTGCTGCAATATTCTGTCAACGGTGGCATCACTTGGCACCTGATTGATGAGTTTTACTTCACACAGACTACAGATGTCCTCTTTATTAACGTTCCTCTGCCCTATGCAGCCCAAAGCAACGCGACGCGGTTCAGACTTTGGCAGCCTTACAACAACGGTAAGGAAGAGACACCCATGGGACTCCAGGTCCACACTTGCACAGTGTAGCATCTGTAAGAGGCTACACTTTTAAACTCAACAATAACAGAGACTCTTAAATCATATTTTCTTATATTTGAACTCCTTCAATTAAAATTATTGCAGGATTATGCTTACTGTTCTTATAAAACTCCTGTATGCTTTAAAGTGAAAGTACCTTAACCTAGTACCCCTTGACTGTGTGCAGAAGACTTATCAGCTTTGATCCTGGGGGGACTGGGAGATCAAGCAACACAGATAAAGTTAACTTCACTCAGGTTATTCTTGTTATTTTTAATGGACCTGATTCTTGTTTACACTGAGGCCCCATTAGAAACCTCCAATTACACAAAAGTGTCCCAAGTGTAAATGGGAACTGGGCCTACCTTGCTCAGAATTAACTAGGCATTAAAAACCTATTTAGAAAGAGTATGTAGTGAGCAGTTAATCTTTTGATTAAATTGTAAAGGACTGTAGAAAACCACAAGAGGAATGCAGCTCATTCCTCTTGATTACAGATGTGCCAGCTGATGAAAGCTTTCCTCTGCTCTCAGTTACTCTGAGCACATCTCTTAGCGGGAACTGTCATTAAGGGCTCTAAAGAATTCCAGCGATCATTTAGGCACGGTGATACAGCAATGATTTATTCCATGCAGGCAAATGCGTACTGCACCTCTAACAAAAAAAGTGAATTCAAATCCAGTCCTAAGAATCCAGTTCCCATTCATTCTTCTGATGGGTCCTGCCTAAAACATTTAACTAATTTTTTCTTGCAGACATTATCCTTAAGTAGGAATTTTATTTAAAAAAACAGTCACACAAAAGATCTGGCAATCTAATCCTTCCTCTCCAGTTTGAAAAGACTAACTTTCCAACATCTTTGAATTCATAATTCATTGGAGAGAAGGTGACTCAGAGTTTCCCTCTCTCTCTAAGAGCTCTTGCCAGGCAAACACAAGCTGCTGAGTGCAAAGAAAAAGGTGTAGGATGAAATCACCCTTTCAGGCTGCTTGGGCTCTACAGCAACTGCTCATTTAGATGATTCTTAATTAAAGAAGACATTGATGCTAGTGTTTCAAAGTAAATATGATTTAAACAGAAGATAATTGTTCAACACAGGTTTTTCACTCTTCATTTTGCTGTGACTTTTATAAATTTTAGAGGAATAAAAGTTAATTCTGTATGGTCAGGCTGCAGAGCAGTATGGGGACTATTTTCATGGAAAATAAAAGTTTTCCATGTTCCATTTTCATGGAAAATGAAAATAGCGAAGCCATGCTTTAGCATCTTTTTCTGCATGTAATTCATAAATACTAGCTACTGTTCTGCTCTCTAATACTAGTAGTATTAGGTCTTAATAGGAATGTTCCCCTTTTCTTTGTAGGCAAAAAAGAAGAAATTTGGATTATTGATAACTTCGTTATTGATGGAAATAACCTAAAGAATCCCATGATCCTTTTGGATACATTTGACTTCGGTCCCAAAGAGGACAACTGGTTTTTCTATCCTGGTGGAAATATTGGGCTTTATTGCCCATATTCATCTAAAGGAGCTCCGTAAGCATCCCTCAGCAATAAATTTGAAAGAAGTGACAGTGCAATAAACTGAGTCTAAAGTACTCCTTTCCTTTTTTTACAGGGAAGAAGATTCGGCTATGGTATTTGTTTCAAATGAAGTTGGAGAACACTCCATTACAACAAGGGACCTGAGTGTAAATGAAAACACTATAATCCAGTTTGAGGTACTTTTCCTCAGAAAGCTATTTTGCCTTTTGCTTAGAGAGCTCTGTTCTTTCAGGTTCTGCACTTCGGTGTATTTGCCCAGCCGTTATGATTGCCAAGTAGAGAAGCCTCTCTAATTTCCCCTGTAATTGCTTTGATATTACTTCCCCTCACATGGGTGTATCATGAAGTTTTTAATACACAGATAAGGGAAGGTTCTGCCTCAAAGTCTTCTACTTTCTTGCCTAAATTACTGCTTTGTCCATGCCTATATACTTGCACTGACAGCATTAAAGTCCATATCATACAAGTTAGAGAGTCACCACTGGCAGACAAGATGATTAGCAAAATATAATGAGGGTCCAGATTGCCACTTCACAGCCTGCTCAGGATAAATGTGCAGCATTTCCACGAGCTGACCCAGTGGAGAGCTATGACTTCATCTGTGACACTAGAGATTAATTTTTCCTACCTGCTGGCTTAACTGCACTGTTGTACTTTCTCAGAGAGCCAAGGCTCTGCTTTCCTTTTGCTTCTGCCCATGCTTTCACAGACACTGTAGAAGAAGCTCTTGTTTGGCCATGATGGCCTGAATTCATCCCATCTTAGGGAGTTACCTAGAGCTCATGAATACAGAGCATATTTTTTGTGCTTCTCATATAATCAGTAGAAATAGGTCACCCAATGACAACACATAGTCTAAAATAAACGTATTTCTGGTTTATCCAAAAATCTAAACTGCACGTTGGCTAGGGTAGCTACTGATGAGAGTAACCATTTAGCCTAGTATGTATTAGTTCAGAGGGGTCATTATATTGTCATTAAGAAATTGTAAAAGAATCTTTCTTGTAAATTGCCATGCCACAATTACCAGGCTGCTTTTAACAAAGATACAGCATGCTGTAGCAGTAAACAGCCAATGATACCAGTTTATAAACAATTACTAAAATGATACTAAGGATTTTCCAAGAAAACTAGGTTCAGCTGTGTACTCAAGCACCTAATTCATAAATTATTGAATATAAACCATTTTCCATTTTAAAATATAGATTACAGCCTGTAGAACAAAAATGTTTGAGGTCACTTTAAGATATTCTTAAGTCTTCAGAGCATTAACCTCATAAAATCTACATACTTACTTCCATATGTGGTAAGAACATTTGTTTCAGCTCACGTTTTTGAGGATGTTAGTATAAATGAAGAAGTTATGCATAATGCAGTAGAATTTCTCTCTGTATCTCAAGAGTCAAAAACTTATATTGGGTCAAGCATCTCTCTAAGCTTCCAGATGAGTAGGCATCCCTTCTAGTCAGATATAGGTTGATGGGACTCATGTGCATTGAAGAGTGATGAAGGAAATTCGATGTAGGATACATTTTCAACATTCATGCACACTTTCAAGTATTACTGGGTTTTAGAAATAAACAGATTTTCATTACAGAGCTGCATGTTAGAAAGACACTTACTTTTCCACTACAAAGATATGTAAAAAACCCAAAATGTTTCATAGTTTTAGTTCAGGTTTTGTATTTCAGTGACAATGGGGTTTTATTTATTGCATGGTAAGTATAATACATCTTATTTTATATGACAGAGTCATCCTCTAGGGGAACTAATTTTTCTTCTTTTATATGAGCAATTTGAAACTAAAAGAACATCTTAATATCAGTGTGAAAGAAAAGCAGACTGATTTGCACTAGGTGCCTGCAGAAAACACATCTTAAGAGGTCTCAGATTCTATACAAAGCATTTTTATCTTTTTTTTTGAGTAGTAGAACTGTTGTTCATGTAAGTTTTCTGCCTTTTCTACTGTTCTCTACATCAGGATCTTGTAAGAACACCTGAAAAGTTTGATACAGCCAAACTATGTTTTGGTGTAACATCGAATCTAAATCCAATCCAGCTATGATACTCTTTTAATGTTATCTCCTAGGGCTTTGCCACTATACAGGAGCAAATGGGTAGTGAATATGAAAGCTGAAGAAAATATTGAAGTGATACAGCACACACCCCGCGGCATAAGCTTTTTTTTTGGAAGTGTAACATAAATGAGGATCATAGTCCAGCTCAGCAATTTAACAAAAAGTTTGTTTGCACATTTTGTTTTAATGTTTCTGGTTTTAAAAACGCACATTTTTTTTGGTGCTGTGATTACTTCAGTACCTGCCAGAGGACTGCAAGAGCTGCTGTGTTTGCTCAAGCAACATTAGCAGCTCTCTTTCAGAATTTTGTCTAGTTAACTTCATGGTTTTCTTTTAGTAGAAGTAGTTGGGGATTTCATATTATATTCATTTAATGGTAAGCCAGAGTGCGATATGCCCATGGACAGGTTGGGCAATGTGCAAGAGTTCATGTTCAGGTGCATGTCCTAAGTGCATTGTCCACATTGTTAAATGAGTTCCCAAATCACTATTTTCCTGGGCTAAATACCATACCAAATGGGGGAAGATGACTCAGAAAAAGAGTGTTTAGGATTCCCACAGCCTGCCCTATGTCATCTTCTGCATTCCACATCTTGGCCCCCAGATCAACATCGGCTGCACCACTGACAGCTCCTCTGCCGACTCGGTAAAGCTGGAGTTCTCACGGGATCTGGGGGCGACCTGGCACCTCCTGCTCCCCTTGTGCTACAGCAGCAGCAGCCACCTCAGCTCCTTGTGCTCCACTGAGCATCACCCAAGTAGCACTTACTACGCAGGCACCACCCAGGGCTGGAGAAGGGAGGTCATTCACTTCGGAAAACTGCACCTCTGTGGGTAAGTGTCCAGCTCCTATTCCTGCCCAGCTGCTTGCTGGTTTTATTTCTGTTTTCCATCCAAAACGTTCTCCCAGCACAAGGATGGTGTGAAAGAACTCCAGCACTAGAGCAGACCAGATGACCATTTTTCTCCACTTTTTGTCCTGAATATTAGTTAGTGTTCAGGCTATTCCCAAAAATATGTTGTGCCTAATGCTAATGTAGAATTACTGAAGATAATTTCCTATTTATCCTTATATCTAATTGGTAACATTTTTATGGAAGTGGGTTGCATGGTAAAATGAATGCAAAACTGACTGTCCGTAAAGCACTTTGAATGTTCTTTACTGCAGTGCATTAGCCATCGGATTTTATCAAGGATATGCATGCATGAAATTTGAGATTCATCAGAAAATGCAGTAATATGTGAGCTAGTATAGACTTGATTCTACTTCAGTGTAAGGAAATGGACTGATCTAAATACTCGAGGTCTCTTATAGCCATAAAGTTCTTTGATTCTAAGAAATTAACTGCTGTAGTCGCTCAGAAACTTAAAGTTTGTGGAACAAACCAGGTTGGATGACAACAGATACATACATAGCAGAGAAGAACAGTACTTGCTAGCTAGCATAATAATACGTAGCTCTTCAAAGTATAAAACAGTACTGTTTGCTTTTGCAGGGAAAACTGTCCTCTAGCATCAACTCAGTTTATGTAAAAGATCATGTCATTAAGGATTAAACTGTAGCACATATGAATGAGAATGAGCTATGCAACTATGAAACTTTATGAGTCTGTGCAACTATGGGACTGAGTATCTATGAAACCACTGCATGCAATGGGCCCTCCACTAAATAAGGGGCCACATATGTGCCTCTGAAAGCAGGAAAAGACCTATATAAGAGTTGAGAACCAAGTTTGGAAAGCCTGGATGTTTAATAATTTAAGAAAATGTTTAAATTTTAAATTTTAATTTTCTAGTTTATGACAGTTAACATTTCAAGCATGGAATAGGTAACCATCTCTTGCAGCAGCCCATTTGTCCTTCTGTTTTTGCCAAAAATAATTATTTGATCCTTTACTTAACTACCAATGCATCCCTCCAAATGAAAATTTTGACTATGCAGGCTCCTAACTCATTTAAACCTTCCAGGTATTTTGATTTAGCCCTCTGTTCCTGAGTGATTCTGTCCTGTTTGCCTGCCTTCCCTCCTATTCCTTCCCCCACTCACCAGGCCAGAAGATAATTGCTGATAGCCAGCCAAACTCAGCAGCTTCCATGGAGCACTCAGTGCGATGAAATTCTTGGGCCAGAGGGCTGAAGACAGATTTTCTCCACCAGAATCCATTGGAATAACAAGAAAAAAAACTCCAAATCTGCCTCCTTGTGTAATTCTAAAAAAAAACCCAGCCTTTTCATCCCCAAAGTGTCTAGTGATTATATTTAAATGAAGATGAAGACATTTTCAGTTATTTCCACTACATATGTTATTTTGGAAATTAATGTATGTTCTCAGCAGACAGCTGTAACTAAAAATTAGTATTTCAGTTATGTTCTGAAGGAAAAGCCCAGTTGAGCCAGTGAAGAAACTCCTACCGACTTCAGCAAGACTGGTATTTCACTCTCTGCTTCAGACATTAGCCACACTTCACCCTCGCCAGGAGGGACTCTGAGAAAAGGACCTGATGTCCCTCAGGGGTGGAATGAATCCAGCCTGTGGGGCAGAGATCTCCTCCAGAAGAGGAGCTTACAAGACCTCCACCCTCACACTTGTGTCCTTCACCTCAGGGCACATTAAAACCTATGGTTTTGACTTCCAGCAGGACTTTGGTTCTCGAGTATCTTTCTTGAAACAATTAGTAATGTCCCCACCCATCAGCTATCCCTTATCACTTGAATCTCCTCATAGAAATTCCTTTTTAGCAAATCAAGACAAAAAAACTCATCAGCTACCTGTGCTATTGATTCACCTGCTGCATTTAGATATCTCTAACAAGACACATTAAACATGCAAGGCAATTAAGTGCTTTTCCCTTCTCACTCTTCTAGTTTCCTTCCTCCTTTAAAATAGTTTCTCAACTGGGAATAAAATTAGTCTCTCAAGCATTTTTCCCCATCTCAATTTGATTTCCCTCCTTCCCCACTCAGTTCCTCTTTATATGCAGCATTGATGCAAGTAGCATTTAGGAGGTGAATTAAAAATGACAGGACAGCACCCAGAGGAGAATATAGTTTAAATTAACAACTTGTAATATCAGCCTGGTTTAAGATTAAGCTGCCCAAAAGCAAGCTGAATTCCTGGTGATGTGGCAGATCATGTTTTCTTTCTGCATAATTGAGGGTGAGATCCTACCACCCCAGCTCCACAGGTGGTCTCCCTGGGGGCAGGGTAGCAGCATGAAGTAGGATTTCACTCTCCAGGAGAGGTGAAGGTGGCCTGGTCTGACCTAGGCGCTGTATGTCAAAACAGAGGGAATCCATCAGACCCCAGCTGTTCATCCTCCCCATGAACGTTGGAGAGAAGAGTGGTTAACTTTCAAATCCCATTTTCAAGTCCGTCATTCAGTTTTGGTATTACAACTAATGAATAATATTATTTTTATTTCTGTCAGTACTTGGGTTGAACATCAACATAAAGATGCATGAGGTACTGAAGGAATTAGATATAGCAGTCAGTTTCTAGAATTAAGCTATTTATCAAGCCAGTTCCAATAGAACGAATACTATATATATGCATAGTTTGGTATATATATGGAATACAAAAAAGATTGAACTATTACTTAGAGTTAGTACACTTTATGCCTTTTTCAGGTTGGCAAGATTCAGATGGTACCAAGGATTTTACCCTGCTGGATCCCAGCCAGTGACTTGGGCCATTGACAACGTGTACATCGGCCCACAGTGCGAGGAGATGTGCAATGGGCACGGCAGCTGTATCAACGGCACAAAGTGCATCTGTGACCCCGGGTACTCCGGGCCAACTTGCAAAATAAGTACCAAGAACTCTGACTTCCTTAAGGATGATTTTGAAGGTACCTTTTTTTTTTTTTTTTTTGGGGGGGGGGGAGGTCTGCATTCTGCCTTTCCATCTCAGTAGAACCCAGGGCTCAAAGGATAAAACAGCTAAGTCTTCTTCACCCCTGCATGCTTCTGAGTATAATTTCTGCTGTGGGGATATTGCAACGAACCAAGTCATTTAGATGTCATTCTCAAGCATGATTTGTGAATGTCTGATGGCTATCAGTTGTCTGGCTCTTTGTGAAGTTGTTTATGCTGGAATACAAAATCTTCACTAAAATAGAATTTCCTAAAACTCTACATGTAGAAAATACTTTTAGAAGAAAATGATGATTTGATGATAGTTTGACATTAGCACAGACACAACGCGTGCAAGTGAGGCAAACAACAGAAGGCTTTGAGGTTATGTTTCTCACTACAAGGGAAATCTAAATGGCCTTAATACAGCAAACATGGTTTCAGAAGAGACCATGTGTCTCAGCAGTGAGGGCCACCACCTGGCAGGCACGGCAGACCCCAAGTGAGTGATGCCAAGAGGAAACTCAAAGCCTTATGCGTGCCTGGGCACACACAGCATCCATGCACACAATTCTAAAACCACCTCAAGGTTTCCCCTGCTAGCAAGCATGGCAAGAAGAACACATTTTGAATAAAGCAGGACCTGTGAACCAAACTCATCCCTTCACAGGTGTTGCTGTTCATTTTAAATTTTGCCAGCCCTTGCTTGCATGCTACCACATGGTACCCTAAGTTTCTTTATAGACCTGGGTACTTTGCTGTTATCTTAAGAAAAATGAAGAAAAGTGGAAATCTTGTGAATGAGTGGAGACTAAGGTCCCAGATTTCATACTTCTAGGCTTATTTTGTTTTGATTCATGGCAATTTTCTAGAATACATTGCATCAGAAACACCGACTATTTCTTCACTCTTCATGTGATGTTTAATTTATCTCTCTTCCTCTGGAAATAGTACTCTTGCAGTAAGAGCACTTCGGAGTAAATCATAAATATGTATTCACTATGTATTCAGGTCAGCTGGAGTCAGATAGATTTCTGCTTGTGAGTGGTGGAAAGCCATCAAGGAAATGTGGTATCATGTCTGGAGGAAACAATCTTTTCTTTAATGAAGAAGGCTTACGTATGCTGATGACTCGAGACCTAGATTTGTCACAAGCCAGGTAACACAATTTCAAAGTTCTTTCACGATTTCACTGAAGAAATAATATACTGAAGAATAATACATATGTGATACTTCTGTGGTAAAGGCAAGCTGATATAGTCTGTGGTCCTTGCTCTAGCAAATATTCCATTTTAACCACTGTTACTGTTTTAAATTAAACTTGAACCTTAACAGGATTAACTATTTAAATGTTTTTGATTTTTTTTTCCTTTAATAAGAAGTCCAGGATCTGATGCCACACCTTCAGTAGTTTAAGCAAGTTTTTATTTCTTAAATGCATAACAAGAGAAATTGATTGCACGTCACACGCTCTGCTTGTCCTACAGTCTGGTGTATTATGAGCCATTACTGAAACAGGAGTATCTGCTGCCAGTATAATTCTTACATTCATCATCTCATAATTCTTTCATTTCTGAAGCTTGCTTTCTTTTTATTGTGAACATTTGTTTCCAATAATTCACTGAGAAATTCCCATCAAGCTGTCACCAGCTACACTGAGCACAGCAATTGAAACCCAAATATTTTTACTGTATTTAGAGATTATGTTGTATCAATACAGACTGCAGAGCAGATGTTTGATGGGTGAGACACGCTGAGCAAGCCACATTAAAAAAATTTACACTAATATAAATTAAACCACATCCTAATTGCATGCATGGTAACAAATAGGCATTGTTTTCTAATTTATTCAGTATCTTAGCTTATGTCCTCATATTATTACTTTGGACAGATTGCATTTTCTCCGACACTTTTTTCCACTGATCTCTTGTAAACACTCTGCTCCTCTCTAATGTTCTGTGGGAAACACTTTAACAGGCACTTTATTTCTTTTTGGCTTGTCTTCATTAGCATAGAAACTTTAAATAACGTTTTAATTGCAGAGCCTCATGGTCAATAAAGATACCTAATTTCTAACAATTATATCTTTTAGATCAGCAATTAGCTAACCCTCAGTGAGGTGTAATATTAAAGATCCCTGTACTGAATTTATAAGATTCCTTACAGCAAACTTTTTTCAGAACTTGGTAAACACGAACATCAATTCTCTTCACTAATTTGATTTCCTAGGCTGTTCTGAAATTAAAAGATTGTTTAACAAAAGATACAAGGGATCTTGTAAGTTGCTCCATGAAACTAAATGACATGTTTTCCTTATTGCTCGTGTTCAAAGAACTGTCATTTATCTCTTCTTCGTGATAGTCTGTAGCTGGATTTGCATATATTGACCTCAAGGTGTTATATGGAGATAAATGACTTCTGTCTTAGTAAAAGGAAAACAAAGCAGTACATTTAATTTCTTGTATATGCTTATGAAAAATAAGTTATGAACAAATAACTGTTTGTTCTCTTCTGAACAGCAAGGCAGGCTGCACAGGCATTGCTAGTTCTGTTCTTTAGCAACATAAAGTAATTGCAGTGGGATTTTCTTAATTTCCACACTGACACTATCAGCCACCTCCAAAGCACAACAGAGCTGGCTGTGACACAGACATGCCAAGTTCTGCACAGGACTTGGGGAGAGGTTTCAGTTTATGCCAGGAATGATGAGAACCAGATTTTCTAATAGATATTTTTAAGGGTAGTAGACTCAGTAGTCACAGTAAAACCTCCCCTTTTCTTTTGAGGAGATCCCCTGAAGTACACAGGTGAACCATGGTGTCTATTGGTGCTGCAAGCCATGCTCAGCACCCGGGGATTGAAATCAAGTGGACTCTGCAATCCACCATCCACTGCCATCACATCTGTATGTTAAAGAAATTAACACAGGCAACAGTACATCACCATCATGGTGATATCAGTGGCTGAAACTGCACAGCACGAAATATCAGTAGGGATAGAATATTTTGGGTATTATAACTGATCAAATCCCTTTCAATTCTGAATTACTAGAATAATATCCGCACATTTTAGTGTTACTAGATCTACAAGAAAACTTTGCTTTTCCACTTCGAAATAGGCAGAGCCTTTGCAAAATATCTGTGGGATGAGAAGAGAGATATTTAAAATTACTTTTTTACTTGGTAGACGTTGTTACCTATATTTGAGTGGGTTATTACTATATTAGTAAAAATTCAGATGAAAGAATAGCAATCCATAGAGAGCAGATTCAACAGAGACAAGGTCACCTGGGTTTATTTCCTTTGAATTATGTGGTGAATGTCGGAGTAAATCTGACAAGGCACAAAGACTTGCCAGCAGTGAATCCAATCCATTACAGTTGATGTGTTGATCCATGAGGGTCCCCAGTGCTCCTTTACAGCACAAGCAATACGTTATGTCTGGGACGTGGAGGTGGATACAATCTACAGAGAAAGAAGTTATATATAGTAGCAAGAGAAACCATGAGTTGCAGCGAGGACCAGAATTAATTGACTTGCAGGTCTGGTGTTTTATTGAAGCTTTGTCTGCCCAGCACCTCTGCAGCCTCCACTCCCAGCAGATCTACCTGCAGATCAAATCAGAGCAAGACTCTTGATACAAAATTTCTTCTGCGCAGTTTCATTTAACCAATTAACAATAATAATTAGAACAGATACAACACTCTAAAGCTGTGCAAAAGCTGTGCAAACATGAATTAATACTTGTAATATCCCTGCGAGTCCAATAGGTAAATATCATTACAGCAGCGGTTCCCTCCACTCCAAGTGCATAGTCGAGCTATTTATGAGCATCGGCTAATGGGAAGAATTTCGCAGTTTGATACAAGTCTATTGTGCTGCTTTGGAGAAGCCAATTAAATAGGGGATGAAAGCGCTGGTGTCCCTGGGTGGCTTGGGCTGGCTTCAGGGAAGCCAGCACATTTAAGCGGTGTGATTTAGACAAATTTCCCAGGCTGACTAAATGAACAAAATGATCCTTGAAAGTGAAACGTGCTTTGTTCTGTCCAGATTTTCTCTAGTTTATGCCAATGGAAAACTGGGATGCTTATTTTGAATTCAAGCATTTCAGCAAATTCATAGCAAATTATGATCTACTTAGGGCACCGTTGCTTTTCTGCCACTAAAATCTGTACTCAGGGGCTACAGGGATAGAAATTTCACCCAGGATTATGTTTCTGATATTTGCACCACCATCTGCTATGCAGACAAAAGCTTAAAACACAAATGACCGGCTTTGTTCAGCCTCTTCTGCCTGGCAAACTACCACACAGGCAAAATGAATTTTTGTCATCCCACCTGTCTGTCTACTTATATTCTGGAGGCTTTGAAAAGGAAATCATAAGATCTCCTAAAGCTGACTCCTACAGCAAGAAATCACGGGGCTAGTCAACAGACAAACTCCAAGTCTCTCTAGTTGGTTATCTAGGATGCTGCAGAAAAGAAATCTTTCCAGTAATTGCTCCCTCTGTCAGATTTGTGCAGTTCTTCATGAGACTGGGATGCGGCAAGGGGGTGCCAGACCCCAGGAGCCAGCCTGTGCTGCTGCAGTATTCGCTCAACGGGGGCCTCACGTGGAGCCTCCTCCAGGAGTTCCTCTTCAGCAACTCCAGCAACGTGGGACGATACATTGCCCTGGAAATTCCCTTGAAGGCCCGTTCCAGCTCCACACGGCTTCGCTGGTGGCAACCATCTGAGAATGGGCATTTCTACAGTCCCTGGGTAATCGACCAGGTAAGGAATCATCTGAGTTGGGTTTTTTTAATACAACTTTAGACTATTTTCAGTCTTCATGTTTCCCTTTTGTTGGCGTATGTCATTTCACTGGGCCAAGCAAAAATGCTTTGTATAAAGATATTCCAGAATTGTAATAATTTAGCAAAATAACAGAGCACAATTATTGTTTGCTAATCTTGTGTTTTTAATGCACTGTTTCCATGCAGGGTACTGAATGCCCATTTTGGAGCTAGGAAAATTTTTTATACATGGCTAGAGCCTCAGGATCATATTGCAGAAGGCCTTACCATGCAACATGCAAGTCTGAGTTCAAACTTCAAAAACCTTCATTTCAAATCTATCCAAATATGTAATTGGTTTGGTAGAATGTAATAGAAAAAACTATAGAAAATGTCAATCTATATCCATCTCCTAATTTTGAAAACAAAATTTTGTTTCATATTTGGGATTTGCTTCTATAAAGATTATTATATTGCTTTGTATGACTTGGTATAAATCTCAAGAAACCCCACTAAAGTGATTGCGATCTAAGTAGTGTTATTGGGCTGTCCAAGTTCAACTTGCTTAAACATTTATGAATGTTTTTTTAAAGGATTTAGTTCAGGTCCTTAGGAGAAACCCAGAGACCGAAATCCCAGCCATGTTTAATGATATAGTAACAAAATTTTACTTCTCATCCCTCCATTTAAAAATGAAAAAAATCCTCATTCTTTCATTCCTATATCTTCATTGAATGTAGTTATATTAGTTCAGAACAATCAGAAACTGAATTCAGAATTACAAATCAAAATTAATTCTACCTTCCTTGCTGTTGAATAATAAAATGCTGATGTCTTACAGTCAATGGTAAAACAGAGACTATTTCCCCAGTTCTATCAGCAGATGCAATCTGATAGTACTGCACCAGATTATAGTAGAGATGAACAGTCAGTAAGAAAAACGACAGTGTAATCACTTTGCTCCTACCAACACTTATTTTTGTGAGCAGTTTTACTTCATCCAGGATGGAGTTCACCTCCCTGAACTTTGGATTTGTGTAGCTGAGCCGATCTCTTTAGGATCCCTTTATAGGAAAAAAATATTCCCCTTCCTCATAACCTAAACTCTTTACAAAGTAAATTTGTCTGTTTTGGACCAGCAGAATATATATGCACAGGTCGGTAAATCTCTTCCACCTCCATGATGCTACGTCACATGTATGTTTGTGAAGATTTCTAGACTTTTTTCTTTTCAATAACATTGTTTTCAATAACCTAATGTTTCAGATTCTTATTGGAGGAAACATCTCTGGCAATACAGTATTAGAAGATGATTTCACCACACTGGATAGTAGAAAGTGGCTGCTCCATCCTGGTGGAACAAAGATGCCAGTCTGTGGCTCTACTGGGGATGCCCTAGTGTTCATTGAGAAAGCTAGCACCCGCTATGTTGTCACCACTGACATCGTTGTCAATGAAGATTCTTTCTTGCAAATAGATTTTGCAGCATCCTGCTCTGTCACAGACTCTTGTTACGGTACATACATATACATATATAAATAAAAACATGCTCTGCACTCAATACACATCACATGGAAATTAAAAATTGGTTTTATTATGTGAATTTTAAGGTGCATAGTAAATAGGTCTTCCTAGGTTTTGAATGCTTGTTTGTACCTTAACTTACATTCTTTTAGCATAAGGTTTTGGGGTATAGATTTTTTTTATGTTGCAGCACGTAGCACATGTTAATTCACTGGGTTGCTGACTAGGCCTCTAGAATTCTGCATAAAAATGGAAAAAGATTTTACATGAAGTCCCAGATGTGGTTTCTCTGATTTTGCTATTCTGGAGCCAATGGAAGTAACTCAGATATTTTACTCACATGCTTAACAAAATTTTTTTTCTTTTGGTATTAAAAAGACTGTGGCATCCTAAGATCATCTCTATTAAGTTTAAAAGTGTTTTGGCAGCTTAGCTATATACTGGCAAAGAAACAGTTCCTTCTTTTTTTGCTTATTTGTCTACTATACTTACCAATATCTTAGTATTAAATTAGGCAGGACGCTACCTAATCATGCTTCCAGTCGTGATGAGCAAAGCATTTCATTTTGGTGATGGAGATTTAACACTAAAAACTCCCTTACCCTTGTTTGTATCCACTTGTCCTTGTATTTCTATAGCACTGACTTGTGCTTAGACATCAAGTAGGACTGATTGGGTGATTAAGGGTCATTCTCTGTGCAAGAGGGCAGAAGAAATGGGTCTGTAGTAATCAAAAAAGATCACAGATTTATCACCCCTGTCACTGCAACCATGCTCCATGTTTTACACAGCCAGAATGCCTGGCAGCTGGAACATTTACTTCAAGTTACAGTTCTATGTCTATTATTATTTACTTTTTAATGGCTGCATAAAAGTTTAACTTGAAGTATTTAGTGAGCTTGACTAAGTTTATTTTTGGTAATAAAAGTTTACAAGCCATAAACATCAAAACAATGAAATTGCTGATTTTTGCTGAGAAATGAATACACTAGTTTAATGTGGCTAGACTGTTTTTGAATGAAAACAAGCTCACTGACAAACAAACTCAATTTAAAATTGTTTATGCTGGATAACGAAATGAGCTGGTCTGGAGGGGGTTGGAAGAGTGACTAAACCATCTTGTGACAGAGCCAAAAGTTTGACTTTGAGTGTTGCTCTGCCTTACACAACAATTACATCCAGTTGAATCTCATTCTTCAGCCTGAAAAACAAAAAAAAAGTTGCTGGTCATGATGCTGTTTCATCATTTCCTTGCACACTGCAGCTACAAAAAAATGGCTTGACTTAGTCCTGGTGACTTAACGGGTGACTTTGTCTTTGCATCTGTTGTCCCTTAAGTTAGGTGGCAGATGCAGAGGTGTACTGCAGTCTTCTCCTGAGCTGTACCTCCTCAGCAACATGTAACGTATCCTCTAGCACTGCCACTGAAGGGGGTAGCTTTGTGCTTCTGACACAAGGGTTTGAAAAGATTTGAGTGGTTATTTTGTCAGCATAGACTTGTGATTAATGCTCTCTGGGCTTACCAGTTTATTGTAGATCTATGGATCTAAGTCTCTAAATTAAGTAACTAACCATCTTTCCACCCTTAGCCATTGAACTGGAATATTCAGTGGACCTTGGGCTGACCTGGCACCCGATTTTGAGAGACTGTCTTCCCACTAACGTGGAATGCAACAAGTACCATCTCCAGAGGATTCTCATTTCGGACACTTTCAACAAGTGGACCCGAGTTACTTTGCCTCTGCCTCCCTATACTAGGTATCTCCCTTTGGTTTTCTGCAGAATAAATCTAAATGCATAACTATATATTGAGGCATGATACACTATAGTGTTAAATAATTATACCTTGCCATTTTTGTTTGGTCCATGTATATAGCAACAAATAAGTACAAGTAAATGAAGCCCCATCCTGCTTTGCATAAAATTTGCAAAGCTACTATGTGCGTTTACTTTTCTTACTTATTTAAAGATAGGAAATTCTTGTCTGTCTTGTGCTGGGGAGGGACAGGGAACTTTTTTAAGAGTCTCCTGTTATCACTAGCCTCACTAAATTCTGGTTGCTTTGGTGGTTAATTGGACTGGCTGAATCCCCACTGCACCCTGTGCTTGCTGTTGTTGGCCATGAGCTGGTGTTTTAAACGTAGCACTTTTCAGGCTTCTTGTTTTTCTGTGCATTCCTTGTATCCTTTGTGTCTCTCTCAGCTTGGATGCTCTCATCATTGTTTTTACACATGCCCCATTTTACCTCCTCTTCCTTTTCCTCCATTCTTTTGTCCTTGAGGGAAGAAAAACTGAGGGATTTCTTGGGAGGCTGCAGTGAAAGGAGCTGTTTGGGACTGACAGTGCTATTGGGAATGCTGCCATAAGGTTCCCTACAATGCCCTGAAAACAGCTGGATTTTTGTTTTGTTTGTCAAAAAGATCCATCTAGGGACAACTGGGTAGTTCAGCCTTTCAGTTTGTGTCCTTCTTGATGTGCTCTTTTCCAGGGATAGTTGTGACTGTCCCCAGCACAGTCATTCCTGATAAATCCAGTGTAGAGCTAGCCCAAAGCAAAGCCCTGCAAACACATGTAGTGTAGACACCAGGCTCTCAGCACAACTTAATTCTACAGCCTTGCTCCTACTGCTGAGCCCAGTCCCCTCAGATAGGCATAGGCTGAGATAACTGCAGGCACAGAAGTACAACGGCACAGGTAGTGCCTATGCCTGTTTGAAAAGGTTGTTAATGAGCTAGTATACATACAACCAGCTAGTGCACATACAACTTTGGAAACAGAGACCTTCATTTTTTAGCAATTGTATTGAGAGCGCCTACACAGTTGCCATGCAGTTTGAAACTTGCAGAGGAAAAGTCCATGTTCTGTTACTAATCATCTGGGTCATTAGACTCTTCCCTATCTTCAGTGCAGTGCTTCATGTTAAGTAATAGTACTTTTTAAAGACTTGCTCCCAACATTGATCTCCTCTGCTTCCTCTTTTGTACTGCTTCACTACGTGTTGTCTGTAAAATCCATTACCCCAACAGTTCTTGTATGAAGTCTGTAAATTTGTGTTCAGGAAGGGCTTTCTGGGGCTCAACAGGATAAATCAGGACTGAGGCTGATGTTCCAAAGCAATTGAATTTGGACCTGAAAGGAACTTACCACCCAAGATAAACTCAGGTTTATAAATAACTGTGATTTTAAGACTGAATAGTTTTTTGAGCAGTATATATCAAAAGAAGTCGTCTGATGCCCTACTGAGGCAAAGATTGCTCTTCTGTCCAATACAATAACTACATTTGTTGGGTCAATTAATAGCATTTCTCAAAGATATTAAGATAGGGATTGCATAAGAGAGGTTATTACAACCTTAGCTTACAAGCAAGGGAGATGTTAAGCTTTAGAATAAGGAATAGTGCAGCTAATAGGCCCTTTAGTCTAGATACTATATAATTTTTATGCTGCTTTATTATTTCAAGCTGTGTAATAGCAGGTGTCTGTCTCCAATTGTTTGTGCCTGTATGTTTTAGGGACATGCAGGCTACATACTCAGTAGCTTGGCCTAGTGTACAGCACCCACACTTCTGTAGCTTTTTAGGGCTTATGTACCCCAGAGCGCTATCTAACCTCTGGTCTGCAGAAGGCAATGAACACTTACTTGTAGCTTAGACTCAGAGCTGATTTTAAAATGTAAACGCAAATAACAAGCTTCTCCCAGGAGCATCAGCTCCATAAATTGTTAGTGAAGCACCAAAACTAAAGCAGGCAGTGTAAGATATAGGTGTCTGTCTTTATTCCTACAGGATTTTCTCACAATTTATACATTTCTTTTATAAATGCTGTTTGATGAACAGCTAGATGGCACAGCAGTAGATTTCTCTTTGGATACACTTGTTCTTCATTCTCCTCATGTAACATGTTTATAAAGAAATAATTCATAGGATAACATCGACCTTACCATAAAAGGTCTATTTTTACACTGAATAAATTTTGAGGATTTAGCTGTTTATTTGTTTTGGTGTTTACAATAATTGTGATATCTCTTTTGAGTTTCAAAAGAAAACAGACTACACAAAGTTCAACGCTGCCATCTAGTGCTGTACAGCAAAACATGGACTAGCTTGAATTCAAAATGGTTTTTTTGATAAGTTACAGAAATTCATCTACTTGCAGCTATTCAAATATAGGTGTCTGCTGCTGCATAAGCTGAATAGCTATTTGGTGTCCCCTGACTGTCTCAGCTAGGTTTTCATCATCTGTCCTCGGAGCTAAGACACTTAATTCACATATAGCTACATCAAAGCAAGGTGTTTGAATAGGGAGCTAAGCCTCGTTTAAACAACAAAATGAAAATGATTTACTGAAAGGAGCCAGCATCACACCATAAATCATTTCTTAACATTTCCAGCCAAGCCCTGGATGGAGGGGAGGGAGTAACTTGCAAAACCAGGGTGATGCTGCAAGCCCTGCATGAGCACTCTCACCTGTCCCCTGTAGATTTATAAATGGCAGCATCTTGCCTAGGAGCCAACCCACTCCCTAGAGCTGCTCTTACCTAAGTGTGGTTGGGAGAATTCATAGAGGAAAAAAGTTGGGTTAGTTTGTTGACTTGGACTGAAGTAATAAAACTCACGCTCAGGGTGAAATTTCAAAGATCTGGGTGATTCTGGCTTGATCCAGCTCCCAGCTATGGCTCAAGTTTGGATTTGTGCTGGGATGTGGTTACGACTGGTCTGAGCTTCCCTTTGGTCATACCACCTTCTTCTTACCCTCTTCTCCACTGCACCAACCACAGCCCACTTGCTTTGCTCTCACCAGCGATCCCTTTTCCACCTCCCGCATTCTCAGCATGCTGCCGAGCACCTGTGCTTCGACCTGCTCCCAAAATGTGGGCACCTTGTTCTTGGCTTTTCAGGGACCTTGTCATTGTCAGGAATCAGCCCTGGGTTGTGCTGATATCAAACAAATCTTCCAAGAGCAGTCTAGCCTCAAGATTGACATTTCCTTTCAGTCAAAATAAAGATTAGCTTAGCTAGAAATACTTTCTTTCTGTTTTTCTTTCTCTCCCAAAGGTCTCAAGCAACTCGTTTCCGCTGGCACCAGCCTGCTCCTTTCGATAAGCAGCAAACGTGGGCAATTGATAACGTCTACATCGGGGATGGCTGCATAGACATGTGCAGCGGCCATGGGAAGTGCACACAAGACAACTGTGTGTAAGTGCCATTTGTTCCCTGTCCTGCCCAGCATTTCACTCCTCCTCTATCATTTTAATGAACTTGCGGGAAAGACTTTGATACAATTTTTAAAAGGAAGGTAGATTTTGCTGTTAAAACTGATTAGGGCACCGGGACCACTTGGGAATAGCAATAACAAGAGGAAGGGTAAGTGCTGGGGTTGGCCCTGCCAGACCTCTGCCTGTTCACACGTCATGGGCAATGCTTTCCTCAGCAGCAATACATTACCTCTGCTGTTGCCTATGCTACATCTTGGCTCCTCTCCCACCAGGTAGGGAGAGGGAACCCCTTGAGCTTGCACACCCTTCTAGGGACGTACAGTCCTGGAGCTTCGCAGAAGATGTCGTCCTTATTCCCAAGGGGTTTCACACCATGTCCCCATCCCCTCGTCCTGGTGCTGGGCACAGAGGACCTGGGCGGACAGATGTACGCCAGTTCTTCACAAGGCCAGATTTTGCCTTGCGACTGCTGTTGGCTTGATGGCCTGATGCCTCTGCTCCATGGTAGGGTTTGCCAGTGGAGGCAGACTGGCTCGATCCTCAAACTGTCTTATAACAGCCCACATAGAGCCCTGCAAAGCTAACAAACAACAGCCAGATCTCTCCAGATTTGCCTGTCTGACAACAGAGAAATACCTTCCAGATGGATGTATTGCTTTTTTCCAGCCAAAAATGGCAACAGAAATGGGAGAATGGTTGTATAATTGTGTTGTGCTCTATCCTGACAGCACTGAAGTACCAAGGCACAATTTCCCTGGTGAAATCTGCATAGTAGCAGAACACATTTCCATGCTGTTATCCCATCTTTGATACATTATAAGAAGGTTTTTCAGAGCAGAAAAAAAGGGGGGACTATATAAAGAAACAATAAAGGAAAGTACCCATCCACTAAAATTTTACAGAAACTTACTTAAAATTTAACTTTAGCAGGACATTCTTAGGCTTGGCACATTCTCCTAGGTTTATCTACCCGAGCACAATGTATTTTACTGATTTTACTCTGTTCTGGAGCGTACTTTGTATTAGCAGCTTGAAAGATACATAATACTAGCCTTCTGAAAGTCATTTTTGTTTCATACTAACTACAAAAAGTGGCAGATGTTTGAAACCCCCATATACCAGTTGTGCTCTAGTAAATGATGCAGACAGCCTCTTTGCGGAATAAGATGGCACCTTAATGTGGAATAACATGGCACTGATTAAATCTCCGTGCAGAGCGTTTGCCAGCTGAATTTTGCATTTGTTTTCCTCTGCAGCTGCGATGAGCATTGGGGTGGGCTGTACTGTGACGAGCCAGAGACCCCCCTTCCGACACAACTGAAAGATAACTTCAATCGCTCGCCGTCGAACCAGAACTGGCTGACGGTGAACGGTGGCAAACTGAGCACGGTCTGCGGTGCAGTAGCCTCTGGGATGGCTCTTCACTTCAGCGGGGTGTGTGTGCAGCACGGGGGCCAGCTCATTCCATTTGACAGTATAAATGGGACTGATTAAAAAAGCTAAATAAACAGCAAGGTGTTAAAGCAAATCGGCATAACATATTAAACATATAAAAAAATCCTTATATCCTTTGCCTAGCTGAAGGTCAAAATCAGATAGGTCCTACAGACTAGGGCCGGCCAGAAACACCCCAGGAAAGCAGGTACCATGTTCCTGGCTATGCTGCAACCAGGAAAATGAGATATAGTGTGTGTGTGCCTCCTGAAAGGAGCCATGGAGGTGGAGCTGATAGATTAAAACACAGTCCAAGTATGTAGACATTCGATTCCATTCGACTCTACTCACTCATAATAGCCTCCTCATAGCACTTACAACTTTCAGAGACTGGAGTTTGGTGAGGCTTCTAATGAGACCACAGAGGTAAATTAATAACTAGGTGTTTGCATATGTATAACTTGCACTTGGTCCTTGAAAATACATCCATGTGTAGCTTCATCCTTCAGATATTTCATTGTTGGTTTTTTTCAGAGTAAGCTCAGAGTAAAATTTCCTGTTTTAGCTACATACATCGGTATAGAACCCAGACTGCTGCTTAATTACAGTTTGCTTACAGATAACCTCAGGATTATAAAAGTGATAAAATAGTATTTTAGAAACATCTAAAACTTATGCTTGTAGATCTCTTCCACACAAATATATAACTAGGTTCAAACTGATGCAAGTTTTCTAAAATAAACTAACAGAAGCATTACATTTCCGCTTGCTTCCAGTAGGACTAAGTAAGGACCACTAATAGACTAAGTAATGTGAAATATATAAGGGATTATGGGAAAACACACGTATTAAAATTGCTGTGCCATTTGGTGGTTTGCATAAATTGAGCCATTAGCACATAATCAGTCATTCATTAATTCTGCCTGGAGAACCTTGTGTTTTACACTGGAGGCATGGACTTTCTTAACTCTTGTATTCAGGAGAAAGGTGAATACAGTTCTTGATACTGAATATTGTAAAGCTGTAGGTACAAGTAGCAACACGTATGAATACACAACAGGAATTTTTAAGATGGAACATAACTGAAATTATGTCCTCAGGGAAGAACATTTATTGTTCTGTTGTAGCTTTACCTTTGTTATAATTAGTATAATTTTGTACAATTTTGAAGGTTTTACAACATGAAGTTATATTAATAGTGACTGCATAATCTAACACTTTTTATGTTCATAAGTTTTGCTAGCCAACACCAGCCAAACATTTTTTCATTGCTTTTAAGGGCTGCAGCCGTATGTTAGTTACAGTGGACTTGAACCTCACCAGTGCAGAATTCATCCAGTTTTATTTCATGTATGGATGTCTGATAACTCCTAATAACCGCAACCAAGGAGTGCTGCTGGAGTATTCTGTGAATGGTGGAATCACCTGGAGCCTCTTAATGGAAATTTTCTACGATCAATTCAGCAAGCCTGGGTTTGTAGATACCTTCTTCTACCTATATAATTTCTTATACTAAAGTAAGGTGGTCTTGAATGTTTCATAAGAACCCGTGGGATATATTACTGTTGTGGTTTGGATGTCAGATCTTTAAGAGTTCAGCCTATCCAGTCCTGCAACCATTTATGAAGGCCTTAGCGCATGTGCTTGAGCACCAGCATTTATGCAGCTGCTAGGCCAGAAATACAAGGGTAGTAAGGAGTCTGTAGCAGTCTGGTAGATTTGTAAATGGTTGCAGGAAGATAAATTAATATCTATTGTAATGATGTCCATCTTGTTCTTTAAGATACTTTCATTTGCAATTTAATTTCTTACTGACAAGAGCAGAAAGTCATTGCTTGAACTATTTAGAAAATGGTGTGTAGAGGAGAAACTGAATTTCTGCAGATATCCATCAAAAGGATGGATACGCTCAAGCCCTATTTTCAGATATTTGTGAGACTCAAATCATGCATAGATATGAATGGACCTTTTCCTCACCGAATAATTGAAAAGACTCATAGAATATGGGGCTGGGAGGGACCCATCATTTGTTATTTCATTTGAACACACAAAGAAATCACTAGCACTTTAATTGGGCAAGAGATTTAAGTGTGCTATCATCTACTGTTGTAGTGGAAGTAAGAAAATTGTACTGAAACATTGCTATCTGCTGAATGGCTCCAGGTTGAAAATAGTAATCTTAATTTTACTCCAACATTCTCCTCCTTAACACTGCCCTTAATTAGGACCTTATGGTCATACCCTGCTAATCTAGACCATTGCATTTGGTCCCAGAAGCACAGCTGGAGCACATGAGTTTGCTCAAACCATGCCACAGTGTGGCTGCTGGCCCTTCCTACCTCACTCTGGACCCCTGTCCCAAGGATGACATTGGGAGTGATTAGGAAGTTTTTTGTTTCAGCAGTCTCCCATAGGGGAACATAGGCTAGATCACCTGGTCTTTTCCTTCTTTCCCAACTTCCACATACTCTAGGAAACAAAGGGGTGAACCTGGTCAATGCACCCAGCACAGAGCATTGAAAAGTGTCCTCCTCCTGTGGCTTTTCTACAACGAATTTCCACTTTTCATTTCAGTTTTGTGAACATCCTCCTTCCCTATGATGCCAAAACCATTGGGACACGCTTCCGCTGGTGGCAGCCTAAACACGATGGCCTGGACCAGAATGACTGGGCTATTGACAATGTGTTGATCTCCGGCTCAGCTGACCAGAGGACGGTGATGCTCGACACCTTCAGCAGCGCTCCCCTCCCGCAGCATGAGCGCTCCCCTGCCGACGCAGGGCCCACCGGGAGGATCGCCTTCGACATGTTCATGGAAGACAAAACTACAGGTAAAGGTTTCATGCAAATCTGAATGAAAGAGCAAGAAGTCAGTGCAGTGACTTCCAAATCCTGCTGAGTCTCTGAATCTATGTCTCACTGTGATGGATATCACAGACAATCCCATCGCTATAGGGGTCTTGTCTTCTGTTTTTAGTTCACAAAGTGCAAAACAAAAAGATGCAATGTAACTTTTCTTTTTTTTTACTGCATGAATTTACTTAGAAGATTAATTTCTCTTCAAAGAAAGAAAAAAGGATTTAAAAGTACCAGGTTATTCTAAGCAGAGTTCTTAACCTGAATATCTGTTTCCTATTTCCTAACTTTTTTAAACTTTCCTTAGGGAAGTTAAGTTACATTTTACAACTAAATTTTGTAGAGGATGTATTTCTGGATGTTTACAAGGCTTAACAGCTAACACTGCTGAGGTACCCTTTGTGCAGACATGTAAGCACTCATTAAAAAGTTCTCCCATAATGTCCAATGCAACAGAAGTTTATGTTTCGATCAAGTCTCAGATCTTACTTCTTGAACATTAAAAAATAATGCTATAATGCTTATGTAAGAGAGTAGTAAGAGGTGCTTTGAGCAATAAATGTGATAAATATGTACATGGGAAAGATGGAGTACTGACATTCTCAGGAGCAATATTAAATAATTCTCATGTAGGCTGAAAAACAAAGCCATGACTCACCTTTAGTGGTTAACACTACTCCCTGTTTTCTTTAATTTATATTGCCATTGTATATTACTGACATTGCTATTTATTTTCAAGTGAATGAACACTGGTTATTCCATGATGACTGCTCGATTGAGAGATTTTGTGATTCTCCTGATGGTGTCATGATCTGCGGGAGCCATGACGGCAGAGAGGTCTATGCAGTCACACACGACCTAACTCCTACAGAAGGCTGGATTATGCAGTTCAAGGTAAAATCTCTGTCTGCAATATAATTATTCAAACCCACATTTTGCTCCAGGTCTAAGTAGATTTTTCAGGAGGTAGGATGATGTATAGGCCTATGTATGAGCCATTCCCTGCAGGGAAAAGTGTTATTATTAGGTCATCCTCATTTTTCTCACCTACTCCGTGTTGGTCACCTTTAATACCGCAGGCTGTTCTCAGAGGTGACACACACTTCTTTTCCAGCACAGCAGTTGTATGGACATCATGTAATAAGGATATTACACATATACAAGGTGCCTATTTTGTTACAGCTGCTTGGTGAGGGAAAAGTAGCTCCAAAGTAGTACGCAATGCTGCTATGTTGTCATGCATTCACATCAAATCTGCACCCAAGCTACCCTTCATACACCCCTTTACCTAAACTAAAGAAATAACCCAGCAATATAAGGAAGTCATAAGAGCCCTTTGCACATCTCTCCCATAAAGACAGTTCGTCTAACGGAACCGAGCTGGGTGGCCTCCTCTGAAATATTCAAATCTTAGGTTGTGTGGGAGGGGAGATTAACTTTACTAGTTATGGGGTACTGGGGTATAAGGCACAAGTGTCAAAACCTGGAAATCTAGAAATGTGAGCTAACTAGAAGAAAATTAAACTCGGAGTATGGTGCCTGTTCTCAGTCTTGGGAATATTGATGAGACATGCAAATGACTGGTACCATACAAGCACTATTACTGCCATCATTTCAAGCAAAATTCTGCAGTCAGTTTTCAGGTTCAAACATTTTTTTAAACTCTAACCGCCACAACAATTAATTCTAATTTACTTATGCTCTCTTCTTTATTAGGTTTCTGTTGGATGTAAAACCTCAGAAAAACTTGCACAAAATCAGGTCCATGTGCAGTATTCTACTGACTTTGGCGTTAGCTGGAGTTACTTAGTACCTCAGTGTTTACCAGCTGATCCAAAATGTTCTGGGAGTGTTTCACAGCCATCTGTCTTCTTTCCCACAAAAGGATGGAAAAGAGTAACTTACTCACTGCCTGAAAACCTTGTGGGCAAGTAAGTATGAATTCACTACTCATTTGTCCTGGATTCAGTACCTTCTGAAAAATACAACAGGGGATACATCTGCCTATTCATTTTCTTTCAAGGAAAGTGCAGGCTAGCGGCATTCACATTCATTACATATGCTGCATAATTTTATTTCCTGTCAGTCAAGGTTGATCACAACTCTTGGTCTGAACAACCAGCAATTACCCTTGCTTCTCTGCAGTCTGCTCCAGTACAGCATGTTCTGCTCTGTTCGGAGAGCCACAGTCGATTAGAGAGTAGACCTATGGCCTTACTGAGCGGAAAAGTTACCCTTAGTGTCTGCAGCTAGTCTGCACATATGCAAGCCATTTGTATCTTTCTGCAAAATTAGTATCTCTTATATTCTTTGAGTAATCTGCTCAGGAAGTATAACTAAAATTGAAATTCCTTTGCTTGCGAGAAGCCAGAATAACTTTTTCTGTCTTCAGCAGTGTCTGGAATCTGTCCATTATATTATAGGTAGTATGTGTGTGAAGAAGATATGGATATGTATAAAATCAGTTTCTACAGATACTGGCAGATATTACTTATGGAAGCTTGGAAGATAGTATGGTCATAAGAATATTGTGTTTCACTCACCTTTTTTCAATTGAGCAAAGCTGGTTTATACATTGTCTGTTTTTCTTCATTCCCTTATATCTAGTCCCGTGAGGTTTCGGTTCTACCAGAAATACTCAGATATGCAGTGGGCCATCGATAATTTCTACCTGGGCCCTGGCTGTCTGGAAAACTGTAGAGGTCATGGAGACTGCCTGAATGAGCAATGCATCTGTGATCCTGGGTATTCGGGTCCAAACTGCTATCTGACCCAAACACTGAAGGTAATTGTACTGTATGTTTTAAAAAGTGAATTTTGCCATGTGTCTGGCTGAGAACAAGAGAGAGAAGAGAGACCGATACGTCTGGAAATTTAGCTTTGATTCCTTTCAGCCTGAAGATACTCAAATCCATTTTCAGCATTTTTAACAAAACTATTATTGCAGTATCCGAGAACGGGCTTGTTCCTTTGCATATAACACTACCCAAAAAAGCTGTGATAAAGTTCACTGTTCATCTTTAGATCATCATTGTACGATCTAAATCACCCTTACACATATTATCATATTTGATCAAGACCTATAGAAGACTGTCTTTATCATGAAAGAGCGTACTGAAGTACACAATACAAGAAAATGACATAAAATTACATAAAATTAATTCACCTAGCTGTTATTAATGTTACCCTACAACAAACAAGTGATATCTAGTTAGATATTGCTAATTTAAAAGTTAAAATATTTTAAAAACTTAACATATTTAGAAAAGAATATATAAGGAATTTAAATTAGTTTAAAATGCAGTGTTTACCATCTCATTTTTTCTAGATCAGATGAGAACAAATTAGGTACCTGCTCCACAGAAACAACAGGTTAAGCAGCATTCTGTCTAAAGACAACATAACTAACTTTTCAGTTATCATGTCATTTGAATTATTATAATCTTCTGTTTTTCATCTGAGATACTAATTACATTAAGAAATATCATTATCTGTTTGCAATTTTTAATTAGTAATGTATTCTTCACATTAAGGACATTTGGGATAAAATCCTAGCAATTTTAGGGGAGTTTTGCTACTATCTCCTTAATGCCAGGATTTCACTCATGGCATTGCTTTTACTGCACACCTGGAGGTAAGTGGAAATCAGACATATATTCTAGATGGTTTTCACTGTAAATATTTGTGCAGACAGTTGCATAAATGCATATTCTCTACAATAACCCTAAAATTTCATTGCAGTACTTGTTTTGCTGGGCAAAAAACATAGAATAGCAATTTCTCCCATACATACTAGATATGTACCGAAGTGGTGTTACATACTCTTAAAAAAACACAGTTATGAATTAGACCAACTGTGGTGGGCTGACCCTGGCTGGGCTCCAGGTGCCCACCAAAGCAGCTTTATCACTCCCCTCCTCAGCTGGACAGGGGAGAGAAAATTTAAGAAAGTCTCGTGGGTCAAGATAAGGGCAGGGAGAGATCATTCACCAATTACCAGCACAGGCAAAACAGACTGAACTTGGGGAAATTAATTTATTAGCAATCAAATCAGAGTTGGATGATGATAAATAAAATCAAACCTTACCTCCACTCCTTCCTTCTTCCTGGGCTTAACTTTACT